AATATANANAANANATACACACACACACACACATATATATATATATATATATATATTATATATATATATATATATATACATATATATATATATGTATATATATAATGTTTGATATAAGCACTATGTCTTAAGTATAAAAATATCAAAACAAACAGATACCACAAAGGGTAACACACACTCGGAGCAGGAATCGCGTAGACAACGTTTTGAGAAGTCTTCCCCCCCCCCCCCCGCGGTTCAGCGTTTGACACGAGCTTTAAATATAGACTGTACAGAGGGAAAGACTCCAGTGTCTATTCTTGGCAGCTATTGTCTGACCATCGCCTCACTATACTGTATATCTACCTGTCAATGTTGTCGCCACCATCGCGACTGCTTCACCCACCTCCGGACAAAGGCGCGGAATAGCAAGAGTCTGAATGCCAAGGAGCTTGTTCAAACCTTCCTCAACGGGATATAGCAAACTGTTCACCCAGGTTTGAATAAGTAGATGACACGATCTAAAGCGATGTAACGAAGTGAAGCACTTTCGTGTCTGATCCAAATTAAGAAGAGTTCTGTATGATATGTACGTATGAGTTTATGCTACCTATTGATGACACTATACAATATAAGTAGCAACATCTGTGCGGTGTATCACTATGTATGTGTTTACCATGTAACCGTATGAATGCGCACTGTTTCATTGCCACATCGCTATTCGGGCCCGCCAGTTGCACTGAGCGAATCAAATCACAGAACGCACTATTTGTGTTATGTACAGCATAAACGTTTGAAGTGTAAAAGTTTTACTGAAAAGCGTTTTAACGTGAAACTAGCTGAGCTGCTGCTTGCAATGATGCATCTAAGTATATGATTTTTTTAACACAACTTTTTTGATGATAATAATATGAAAAGTATATGCGTACGCTCGTTTATATATATCTGTGTAGATATGTACATACATCTATACATATATGTACACAGTAGCGCAGTGGATTATATATACAACATATAAAGACTTCATAAGGGACGTGGCTTCAACGATCCAGACGGGATCTTAATATATATTCTTTAATATGAGTGAGGGAGAGATACACGGATTAGGGCTGAGTGACAGCGACAGTGACAGTGACGGTCAAGCTAACAACGATAGTGTTAATGTTGGTGTTGTATCAAACTCAGATGATGCGAAAGTGACAAGCTCACCAGAGATACATAATATTGAAAATGTATGCAAAGTGACAAGTTCACCAGACATACACAATAATGGAGATGTACGCACATCTTCTGGCGATGGGGATAACAATAGTGATAGAGATGCAGGTAATCGACACAGCAGCGAAGTGTCTTCTGGAAATGCGAGAGATAAAACACACTCTGTAGATCGGGTAGTGAGTGGGCATTACTCCGATGGTGTAGATAGGAGTGGGAGAAAGCGGCAGTGCGATGAGGTCGATGACAGACAAACGTATAAAAAGAGCAAATACGAAGACGGTGGCAGTGGTATGGATAGAGGTAGTTCAAGGGACAGACAAACCCAACAAACCACAGAGAGGTCACATCAGCGAGTTGTCCTTTCAGACCGGTCAGGCAAAAGAGACAGCACTGTAGCAGACTTGGGTACGGTTGTAGCACAGCACTATAATGCAAGACCGGATGTTGGCGTACGCGCGCGAGAAGAGAGTCCCATATACGCTCTGAAGGTATGTTTAGTCCTTTAATTGTTTATTCGTTGGGGGATAAGATACAGTTTCAAGTGTATATGGTGCGTACGTTTTTCGCCGTGTGATTGTCTGTACCATTTACAATAGTCCAATAATATATGGTTTCTGATTGTTACTGAACTCTATAGTTGCAGGATGCTTCCCTCACTGAAGGACTTAATACGGAACGCACTGGCTGTTAAAGTTACAGTAGTATAAAGATACGTGCCTGGCGAATCGATTACTCACTCGAGATTTATTTAAATCCAGCTGAAATCCCGATGATACTATCTATGGCATATACATTTCACTTTAATGCCAAACCGCTTGATTTCAAACCGTGTATGCTTGGATGAGACAGCCTTCCGTCGACGGCTGTCCCACCATCCACTTCACGCCTTTGCAATTCTGGGACTGATCGTTTGTCTGTAACGTCCACAGTCATATAATGTGCGCTCTATCGTGAGCAGGGAATGACTTGAATCTTCATACAGAGAGACACTCCACCGAAGACGAATGCGTATGCGTACTTGTCAGTGTTTGGTTAATAGCAGCGGTATAAAGCACGCGCTTTAAGCTGATATATGCGCAAGTACACACTATTATTTTACTGCATGTATTCATTGATCATGTGGAGCTATTGATAACATTGCAGATCCTCCTGCTACACACTACAGTGCTTCAACAACTGGCTGAAGGCCACCATGATTCAGAAGTACGTCAGACCCAACATGTGTGTGCTGGATCTGTGCTGTGGCAAGGGCGGCGATCTCAACAAGTGGTCTAAGGCCCGGGTGGGCAGATTGGTAGGAGCTGACATTGCCGAGGTAAGTCATGAGACGCTTTCTTAGTTACGTGTATACTGGCGAGTGCGCTTGTCTTATACGGTTGGCTGGTCTGCGTCCCAAACATCGAGCACGGCCTAGCTGTGCAGTGCAACTGTTGCACGTGTGTGTTGTCCTTGCCACTCCACTGTATGGTGCACACGCATGATGAATTGTGCGGAAACGGACCGAATATGAGATTTTAGGTTTAGCGTGTTTGTGGACGTGGGTGCGTCTTGACAGCCTACGGGACAGGCTAGTACAAATGCGATCAATGAGACACGTATGCGAACAATGAGACACGTATGCGAACAATGAGACACGTATGCGAACAATGAGACACGTATGCGAACAATGAGACATGTAGATCAAAGATCAGTTTGCTCGACGGTAGGCTGTGACGCTGACGCCATCCCACTGCACGTTTTCTTTGCGTTGTTTGCATAGCGCGATTCAATTTACGGGTTGTCAACAAATCAAATCTGCGCATCTGAGAAAAAAAAGAGGTAGATCGATGGAGTGTGTGTGTGCTGTATGTATTGTGCAATTATATACGCACCAATAACGTACTTGATGGTGGATAAGCCTAATAAGCAACTTGATGGTGAATAAGCCCAATAAGAAATTTGATGGTAGATAGGCGCATAAAAGCTCCATGCGTGACCAAGCACACAACCTCTCCTCAACATACATTTGTATACACATCACACGTGGTCACCCATCAGGTATCGATATCGCACTGCCGCCAGCGGTACTCAGAGATGCGTGGCTACAAACCAACGGCTGAGTTCCATGTGGCCGATTGCGCTAAGCTGCGACTGCGCGACGTCTACTCATTTAAGCCCATGTTCGATACGGTGAGCTGTCAGTTCTCGTTTCACTACGCCTTTGAGAGTGAGGAGAAGGCCATGATGATGATGCGAAACGCTGCCGAATGCCTGAAGCCGGGGGTGTGTGGTGTGTGCTAGGCTGTCTTAGGGATTTGATTGGTTTTTTAACTCTGCCTATGTGACGTGATGCACTGTTGTACACATTGTGCGCGACCATGCGATATCAGCACTGGTTTTATGCGTCTCACTGTAACTAAACCCACGTGTCTGTTGCCTCGCGTGCACAGGGTGTTTTCTTTGGAACGACTACCAACGCCTGCCTACTCGTCAAGCAACTGCGCGCCGCCAACGGCGACAGCTTTGGGAATGACGTGTACAACGTGAAGTTTGCCAAGGACGATAAGAAAGACTTTCCCGAGTACGGCTGCAAGTACAACTTCAGTCTAGTGGATGCCATAGACGACTGCCCTGAGTATCTGACCCACCCAGCCATACTCACTAAGCTGGCGAAGGAACACAACCTGGAGCTGGTGACGTACGAGAGGTTCCATGACTTCTTTGCGAAGTACCAGACCGATCCCGATGCCGTGGACCGCATGATCCGTATGAAAGTGCTGGGCCGGCAAGGAACCATCCCGCGTGACCAGTGGGAGGCTATAGGTGAGTGTGGGTGTGTGGAAAAGTGGGCATAGTTTGTATCGATGTATGTATAATTTCATATACGCATATGCAAATAATTGACAGGGCACCATATTTCGTGAGTACTTGGAGCTTTAGGCAGGCGCACGTTTTTATGGCGTAGATGCGTATAGCTACAATACAGATGCTATCTATCCCGAGCATGCTTGTGCTACAGGTGAGCGCTCGGTTCTGGACATAGAGTGCTTGTGTATTTGTAGTGTAGATGTTCTCTCCGCCGAGCATGCTTGTACTTGTATAGGGTAGATACTCACATGGCGGGTGTATGATTGTATCTGTACCTGTCCCGTCATGCTGTTGTTTGTAGAGCCATGATTGCTGTAGTAGAATCTCATAGAATGGAAGCCCAACACAAAAGGTTTTAATGCTCACTTGTATGGCTTGTGGGCCAATATCCATCGCATCTTGCTTTTGTGATCCGGAAGATTATATCTGTGGTATACTTTCTGTCGTTATGACTTCATGCTCGGTGAACAGTGCTTATCTGCACTCTCTTTGACTAGCTATGACACACATCTTGTTCTGGCTTGGATCTTAATAATTTGGCAACACTGGCAGTCGCGTGTATCTATGCGTGTTTATTAAAAAAGGTTTGGGAACAACTAAATTGTATATCGGTAGCAGCCCCAGCCCTTTTCTAGTTCTCACACCAACGCGATTCATCGCAACCGCAGGGCAATATGTTGCATTCGTTTTCAGAAAACGCATGGACTGAGGCGATGGTGGACCGGGGTGTGTATAGTGCACTGATACATTGGATGCGCTTAGCAGGAGAATTGGGGACCAGACAACACACACTATGAGCCACCGCAAAGCCACACAAGTACACGTGGTCGAACGCGTTGCCCGATGCAAGCGAGCGCACGTGCAAGTCAATGCCTGAGCATGCGCCTATGGAAGACTGGAGGAGGGGGTTGCATGCACATTTGTATGGGCTCCAATCGACAGTGAGTTGCGATTCGAATACGGCATTCCTATCATGTGATAAGCGCGTGTATGTCAGGGTTTGCTCACGAGTGTGCCAGATCCGAAGGCACCACCGTCACGCTCAGAGCCATCGGTGCCGTTCACGATGGTCCGTTCTGGGTGCAGTACATGTGATGTTATCCCAGGGTACTACAATTACCGCTATCAAATCAGTTATCGGAGTAAATGTGAAATACCTGAGAAGCGTAATATGCAAAAAGTACAGTGTATGTAGACGTCCACATATGCAATACATGGCAGCTATGGTCTCAGGGGCGGGGTGACCCGGTGTATTCTGAGAGTGAGCTGAGTGACTTTATGGACGCTTCATGATATGAAAGAGTCAAGGTACTAGTGATATGCCGTGTTTGAAAAAGTCTATTCAAACTCCTTTAAAATTCACCCACACTTCATACTTCATTGTATGAATAAGTGGAGGCTCTGCCGAGTTGCTAGATGCTTTTAATGCTATCCATTTCTGGCTAGAAGGAGGAGCGGAGTTGCTATAAATGGCATTGCCTCGTAGCTGTGTGCCTGCAACGTAACGTGCCCCCGTTCATCGGATATTCTTGGAATGTGAGCTGTGGTATATATTTGTATATATAAATGTTTGCCGCTTTACGAAGCGATGTGGATTTGAAGTAATGAAAAATGGAGGACATTTGCTTTAGCCGGCGTCCTTGACGGTGTGTGGATTCCGGGATGGAATGTCTACAACTAAGAATGAGAGTTGGACGAACTCGGGAATTGCTTAGAAAACTCTGAGACAGTGAGAGTAGTCCTAGAGGTTGTCATACCTATACTCACCGTGAATGATTGTGGTAATAAGATGTGAAGAGGCACCGCATGCTGCGTGCTTTGCTATCATATCTGTCTTTGTACATACCTACATTGCCAAAATATACGGGCTGCGGGTACAATGCGATTTATATCCAATTGCCAAATAGAATCTGAGCACAAACAACGAAAGAATATGGCTGGAATACGCGAGTATTGTTCTATAAATACATTGTCTAACATATCACACGGATGCATGTGTGCCCCCCGCAAACACATGAGTGTGAGTATACGCTTTTGGATGCGCACATACATGCTTTCAATTATTGCACACACGAATCTGAAGTCAATTTGGAAATACGTATGACTGCGTGTATGGGGTTGATTGTGTCTTTCAACTTACTTTCTATATCAGTTTTGCCAATTCTATTTGCCATACGTAATCATCGTTTAAGCGCATTGTTCTATTTTGTTCTATATTTCCATCAAACATCGACGCCTGTGCCAGGTGTCTATTTATTAAAAAGACGTACGTTGACATTGTTGATGAACTCGTGCATATTGTCCACCCGGCTGTGCTACGTATGCAGTACAATGTACAGGATAGTCAATGCAAACACCCGTTGTCTACATTAAACAAACCTAAAATTTCAACAACATGCAGATAATAGATAGGAAGGCACTTATCATACATCACATTGTTACAACATAAACAGCACACAGCCCGCTTTATAAATGTACATCTATTCATGTATATTCGGATATTTATGTGCAAACTACTAATTCTACATATAAGTAACACGTTTGCGGTTGCGCGAATATGACTCGGTTAGGAGCAACAATTATGTACATTTACACGCGTGAACACCTGGGCATAAATCTGTGTACTTCTATTCGTATGCGCATGCTAACTTACGACTAGTTAAGCAAACGAGTGTATATTTCATGTGCAACTGCATTCAGTCATGTCCAAATGATATATATATTAAACGTGTCTGTGTGTTACACATACATACATACATATATATAGAAGAGTGAAGACGCATTCACACTCGCACTGTAAAATAAATACACCAAGATGGTCAAAGTAAAAAATAAGTGATCAGGACCTGGTACCTTTGCATTATACTATTGTTTCATTGTTAGTGATCTTACTAATATTTTTATTTGTGCGCAGCGGTGCATTGATACGCAGGCTATTAGCGAGGTGAACCAGGCACCTCGCATTAGATATTACGAGACATTCTCACTGAAGCAGTCTAGTGTAATTACCTTCTACAGCATCTATGCTCATCCACACGTTGTGACTTCTGTAACTGTTGCTAAAACAATCCAAGCCAAACAATGTAGTGGTCTTTGCAGGTTTGCATACGCACATGCTTGCAGTAAAAAGCATAAGCGCTCGCAGGATTAATTCCTCGCATTCAAACAATGCTTCCCATCAACTCGGAAAACTCCCTCGTTCCTGAGGCAAAGGCATCCTTCGGCACTCTTCCACCCCCCAATAACGAGACAATAACTAACTTTTCTCTGCAATTGGTGAGATAGTGCCCTGCCCGTCCATACTCCAATCTCATATCAAGGGTACCCCAGATAAAGCTCCATCTTAGCAGTGACACAGATGATGCTTCAGTCAGACCGTACCCAGATCCATTCTCCAATACTTCACTTAGACGACCACATAGGTGGCATCCGTGGCAATACCGCAGTGGTTGTTGTCATTGCGCGCAATCTTGAAGTATCCCATATCACCCCAGTAAGTGGACCACGAGTTCTTGACAATCCAGTAGTCATCTCCAAGCTCAGTGGTGCCATAGCCAACTACCAACACCGCGTGATCAAGGTCTGTAGTCGAGCAATTGGGATCTCTGTACACACCGCTGGAATAGTACAGTAGCGATGGCTTGGATGCATCGAAGGCAACGGACACGGGCCCGTGTAGAGCAACGGCCTGAGATAATAAATGGTGGAAAAAGAGGGATCAGCATATATGTATAGTGTATATATATATATATAAATAAGAAACCTGCTAATAGAAACAAAGTGGATATACTTGTGCACAGCTATGTATACTTCAAGGATGGCTTTCTGCGACTTGAACGCTATTATTCTAAAAGAGAAACCAATTCCTAGAACGCTATATACATCAACCAAAACACTACAAGGCTGTACGCGATAAAATAAAGTATTTACCTGCTTCAACGCGAATTCGTCACCCGACGGGATCAACACACGACCCTTGATAGACGCCGCCTTCTTCTCTGGGTTGTAGCGACAGTAGTTGTCCGCGTTTTCGTACTTGTACGATGAGTCATCCATGATCCCACCCACCTCAGTCAGGTAGTCCATAGCCATAGCCGGTTCACCGCCATCACATCCGTTGTTGGTATAGGCCCAGCTACAGTCCATCAACTGCTGCTCCGACAGGGTGTTTAATCGTCCGGTCTTCAGGAAGTACGCTCCCTCCATCGCCCCAGTAGTGGAAAATGCCCAGCATGATCCACAGGTACCTTGATCCTTCACTGGCGTTACAGCGCCATCCAATCGCCAATCAACAGCATCGGGCACCTTGATATTGGTGTCCACAATCATCTTGCTGACGGTTCGGTTGACATGCACGTGATCACTGGGCTTACCTACTTTGTAGGACTTGCGGTAGCCAAACATACGGCCGTTACGTTCTCTGGTACTGAGATCAGAGGCGTGGTTGTGGCCGTATGTGGCATCATCACCCTGCTTGTTCATGTTGTTGACGGTGTGGTGACTTACACGAAAGTTGAGATGACCCTCGAGTAACTCCTTATCATCCGCGTACGTCTTGTTGAACTTAACGACATGCTCATCGAACTTATCACTCACATGGTCATGTGCGTTCATAAGAGAGTCGATCTCTTCACGAACGGCATGATGGTGGTCATCACGTCCACCCAAGAAAACGCTGCACTCGGGCACCTCGAATGCAGAAGAATCCACGGTAGGCTCGAATGTCAGATACTCGACGTTGTACATATCGTAGTGGGAAGCAAACACCACATTGCGGCCCACCATTGACAGATAGTAGGGGGTGTATAGTTCATCGTCCTTGGCATAGTACACATACTGGTTGTGGAAGCCCTGGGACTTCTCCTGAGACCAGTGGTGGCACAGCTCGTCGGTCTTGGCAGGATTGCACGGTGTCTTACCGCGGTATTCAAATTCCTTCAGATCGGGAATGAACTTGACCTCCCTGTCCATGCGGTCTTGTGTGTCTGTGCCTTTCTTCAGCTTGGATTGGAAACACATCGGTCGATTGTATCCAATGTACGTCTCGTAGGTCATACCGGTATCCTCGCCAATGTTTAGGTACAGCATCGCATCCCTGCCGTCGTAGTACGTAACCTTTTGTGCACGGGCCTCCTCATCAGTCTGTACTTTGACAGGCTCGTGGACGTCAGCATATGGGATGTGCATGATACCTGTGACTGTGTACTGTTTGGGATAAGTGGGCACAAACTTTCCTAGGTTAGGAGCGGTCATCACATGAGCCTTCTCGCCATTGGAGAAGGCATTCTCATTCTGGTGTAGAAGTATGGGGCTTGCATTAGAAACAGCTGCACACGCAACAGCGCTCAATACTGCGTTCTTAGTCAACATGTTGATACGTTGATTCGTCTACAGGTAGCTCGATGCTTCTGATAGTCAAACAAAGAGATGTGATTCTTAATGCGAAGGAATTGACAGTGTATATACCTATCGATTATGCGACTGCGAAGTTGCGAATTTGCGAATTTGCTTTGAACCATTAAGTGGCAGCATAAAATTTCAGGAATTTTTGACCAGGCAACACGAACACCGGATGGTATCGGAAATTCGGAATTCTTCAGCTTCAAAAACGTGTCAAGAAATTTAAGAAATTTATACCTTCCTCTGTTCAGCCTTTAAATACAATTTGGCTTTTTAGTGTCAATTTGACGCGCTCGAGTGGCCGACAACTGCCCCAGAGGCTCCCGATGCTCCAGAGTTGAGACCTGTATGCCAGTAGTAGTAGTCCAGGAGTCCAGCACCCGTATCTGACATTCTGACTCTGATGTCAGTTCATTTTATGACAATATGAGTCATCATAAACTCTTACGCATTTTCATGTGTTCCATATTTATGCAAATATTCCGATAAAACAAAAAAGAAATCTGACACAGAAAGGCTTTGGCATTTGTGCGACAATGAAGTGCGAATAACAGCTGTAATTTATATATATATATTGTTTTTAAAAAAATGTTTTTTGTCGGTTCACAAGTCGCCTTCGGGCCAAGGCTGTCACTGTCAATTATAAGAGTAAAAAGGCCAGGTCCCGCAAATACTAGACGGTTGAAAAGCTTTTTCCAAATTAGTCGACAAATGACGAATCGATAATTCTTCAAATTTGCCCATTGTCTAGGCGAGATATAAATAGATAAAAATAATAGCCAGTGCACAGCATTTAAATGGAGTATTATGATTCGCCGAGATAAATATTAAACAAAATCTATGAACGATTGGTGTAACTTAGGAATATAGTCTCTTTCATTTTGTTCGTCATTGGCGTTCTTTGACTTTACTCAGTTCTAACAAGTAGATTGTTAAATCCTTTTAGGTTCAGTAAAAGAACCAGTTGTATATTTCAAGAACACGTATGTGTACTAGTAGCAGTTGTAGATGTAGGAATAAGGAATTTCATGCTAAATATGTAGTATGTATACCCTACAATATAAAAAATCTATCTGTGTCGCTTTGCGGCGGTGCCTCTATTCTGGACCTATTTATTTACATAGACTATTTATGGTTTTAGTATACGTAAATATATTCGTTTTCATTTAGTTTATCATTTTGTATATGAAAAACTACAATACATACAATCAAAAATAAAATAAATGGATAAAATTTATAAAGTACCGAACTGAGGTTAAACTCAATATACCGGTATGTATTGCCGAGTGTCGAGTGTCGACTGTCGAATGTCGACGTGTCTAATGTTGTCATCAACACATGTGTCAAAAATCAGAGAAGGCTATGTATGCAAAAATCCCGCCTCCCCGCGCCTTCCCTCTGCCCGTGGCCCCACATTTTGGCGCACAAATGATGATGTCACTTGTGTCAGGGAACGACAGCCTGACAGGGCCTCCGTGACAGTGAGTCAGAGCCTCATACATACTCTCAATGACTATTAAAAAATACATGACATAATTTTGACTTTCCATTGTTTGTTATTCGCAAGGGGTAGACCTAAAAACACTGAAACAGTTGTTCGCAACTTCGCATGATGCCGGCGACATGTGAGACAAACAACCACCCAAACCTAAGAGGTTTCATTGACAGCTCAACAGTCAAAACCCAGCCGCCGGCGCCTGTCTGCCCGCTGCCGACCACCGCGCGGCGCACGCACGGCTGCCGCGCCATATACATTTATTTATCCCAGATTCCCAGTGACCCAGTAGCCGTATAAAGCTGTCTTCAAATTTGAAATAATAGATAAATACATTAGGGGTTTGTCAGCTTTCAACTTCTCTCGGGCTGGGGGGCTGGGTTGTTGTGTCGAACATGTTCACAATACCAGTTACAGTATTTGACTGTCATCAAATTCATCAACATCACCTCATATTTATGTCAGATTGCGAGTTTCCTTTCCAAAAATATTTACATAATAAAAACAGCGTGGTTCTTCGGGTTTCGTCTTTCGACTTCACAAGTTCGCGAGTCACTTTCGACTTCTTCACTCTCTCTATGTTTGGTTTACACGACATTTATTTATTGATTTCATGCAGATATTCGACTACAATATTTAGTTTGATTTCATATTCGTATTTTAGAAGCGATTTTAAATCTCTTGTGTGATTCACGTACACGCTACAAACTAAATAGAGAGAGATTTGAAGAGAGCAAGAATGTCCGAAAAGTTCAGTGACCCTAAATTCACCATCAACAAGGTAGTCAAACTGCCCATTTTGCTGGCTATGTGTGTGAATGTGAGCTTTCAGTTTGGCATAAGTATCATACGCATATTTCTTGCAATGCGTGGTTTCTAACATTTTTTTCGAGTGTAAACACGAAATTCTTAGCTAGTACATGTTACCGAAGGGTATTCTTTCAGGTTCCAAGTATTGTGCAAACTCATGCCGGTATAAGTATACTTTCGTTCTATTTAAAATCATCCTTATGGCCTTCAATGACTCTTACTCGAACGCCAGGAAAAGCCACCGTATATATATATATATATTATATAAATATATATTATATATATATATATATATATATAATATATATATATATATATATATATATATATATATATATTATAT